ATAGAGTGAATGAGGGTATTGTATAATGAAGATGACATGACAAGCAGTTGTTCGTGGTTTTTTGATTGAACAGAGGATAGAGATTAGAGTTTTTTACTAGGAAAAATCACGAAAATGACCAGAATATACCTAATGTATTAACAAAATAGTCATTTTTTACATGTTTTACTAAAACAACCACATGGATCGCCTCCGAGGGGAATGGTTTGACCATGGGGGCGATCCAAGCCTTTTCTTGACCAAAAAGTACAAGAAGTACAAAAAATAATAATTTAAAATTAATTTGTGGGGTCCCATATATATCTGCTTTTAGAGACCAAACAATATTTGCCTCGTATATCAGGATCACCCCTTACCTCATCGAATCTTCCCCCGGGGGAGATCCAGGCTTTTTTGTTGACTTCCATTTCATCTTTTAGTGCGACAAATTTTATTATAAATAGCATGGATTTCTCATTATTTTTTTCACACCTCATTGTTCATTTTTATTCTCATATCTTCTACTCTCATAACCCTTAACCCTTAAATACAATAAACCATCACAATCCTTAACCTTTAACCCATTAAACACAATCTACCATCATAACCCTTCACCATTAAACACAAATATGAAATCACGTCAAAGTGATGATGTTTTGGTGTATCTTCGAAGTGGGTCTTCGTTCCAGGAGATAAATGGTATCTTAAAGTACCTTCCGTTAAGCTCTCCCGTATGTGTATTACGTTTGCTTTCGCCAATAACGAATTCTGGTTTGGTTAAACGTGTTACAAAAAATTTAAGTTTGCGTAGTCCTTTCATTTTATTTTATAAAATGAATTCCTTACAAATATTATATCAGTTAAGCGATGACGATGATGTGCTAATGTTCCATAACGTCGTTCATCAAAGTTACCGAAAATGTTGACACTCTTTGTGGTCGATGATGGTGGTTAGGGTGGAAATCCATCAAGTGTCGTAATCCATCAAAGTTTACCCGGTGGTCCAAACATTTATTTACCCCGGTGGTGGTAGCGGTGGAAATCCAAGCACTCTCTTCCCCGGCGGTAGTGATGGAAACCCATATGGTCCAAAAACTTTTTACCCCGATGGTGGTAGTAGTGGATAAACATTTGACACAAAGTACTCTTTATTGATGCATATTACTTAAAATTCAAGATTACAAGTAAATAATGCATAATTACAACTTATTAAAGCTCCATACTTGAATTCGTATAACTAACTGTAGATAAACATAATCAAATATTGAATAAACATTTCATTTTAAATATAAAAAAT